GTACTACATTTATTGATGCTGCTGCCTCCCTGCCCTATGTCATGACACCTCTCAAATACCAGCTGATGAATGAACTTTTTCAGTTTTTTATTTTATGGTACAGCTGCCCATAAGCCAATAGTTCAATTTTTGCAGAATCACCATCCTTGTCATTACTCGGAGAATTATTCATTCACTTATTCAAATGTGATTGCCTATTTTCATTATTATAAAAAAGCGAATGGGAAATGGGAAAATTAAAAGCCTAATAGTAATTATGAGAAGTGTTTGTCTCATAAACTCAAGTAAGACAAAGGTAGAAGTTATTAGACATGCCCAAAATGGCAAATTTTTTCATCTGAATCAGACAGTTACTGAACTTGAACTGTTGAAATGAGGAGAAAATATCCAAAATTATGGAAAGTTTAAAGAAAGAAAAACTAAAGTGATGAGAATACACTAAATGCTGTGTCTAAACAGCAAGGTATAATTAGAGATTTCATAATATATTTAGCTCTCTAGGGCCAGAATCCCTTAAAACATGTAGGATTTTATACAATCTTCAGACCTATTTTCAGGAATGTGTCCTTTCAGGAAAGAAGGAAAAACAGTATTGATATTGAACCAGTTACCGTGTTCTGATCACATACAAAAACAGAGGTAGAAGCGTTTTCTAAACGGAAAAGCACAGGGCAAAGTCGGTTATTTTTGTTGGCATTGGCACTGCCATTCCAGTGCTCTGACACTGTCATTCCAAAAACCAAACCAAAACTATCCTAAAGGATAAGTTCAGCTCTTCATCATATTGCCTGCAAAAATGTTCAACATGTAACATTAATTCAGTGGCATTTGGTGTTTCATAAGTTCTCTTAGGATATTCTATCTTGTCCTTTTTCCACTCCAACTTATTTATTATTATTATTTGAGACAGAGTCTCTCTCTGTCACCCGTCGCCCAGGCTGGAGTGCAGCAGCACAATCTGAGCTCACTGCAACCTCTGCCTCCTGGGTTCAAGCGATTCTTGTGCCTCAGCCTCCCAAGCAATTGGGATTACAGGCCTGTGTTACCACTGCCAACTAATTTTTATATTTTTAGTAGAGACAAGGTTTCGCCATGTTGGCCAGGCTGGTCTAGGACTCCTGGCCTCAAGTGATTCACCCACCTCAGCCTCCCAAAGTGGTGGCGTTACTGGTGTTGAGCCACCGTGCCCAGCCCCACTCGAACTTATTAACTTCCTAGCCTACGTCTAGCCAAATTGGAAATTCCCAACTGGCTTTTCCATACCTTCCATATGTACACAATATTGTCCCAACCACTTTGTGTGCTAAGAAAATGTTGACTATCATTCATCCATTTACTTTTCTCCAACATTCTTTAGGCATTTATTACATAACTATTATGGGCCAGCCACTTGTATGATAAGGAATGATGAACTCACCAGTCTGTTCAAGACAGACATTCAGATAATAAACATGGTTTATTATCTGCATCTATACAAAATAATATAGCATCTATACAATGTGATAGATGCTATATTAAAGCTATCCACAAGAATGGGAACTCACATGAGATATCACTAAGTTTATGAGAGAATTGGGAAAAGCTTCAGAGGGAAAGTCTTCTAAAAGAATTTGAACAGTGTCTTAAAAGATGAATGGGTGGTAAGTCATTGGTTAGACAGGAAAGAGGGTCAAAGGCATTTTCGAACAGCATATGCAGCTGGGTCATGGAAGGGTGAAAGTGCACAAGATATTCTTGAGACAGTAACAAGATCAAGATCAATGGGCTGGGGACCAGAGAAGCAGAAAATAACCCTGAGAAATGCTGCAAAGGTAGTCTTGTGTATCATGGCAAGGAGGTGAGATTTTATGTTATAAGCCAGTGTTTCTCCAAATGTGATCTGAGGTCATCTCTACCAGATTCACTTGAGGATCTTCTCAAAATGCAGATTATTGGACCTTACATCTGGGGTAAAGCCCTGGAATCTGTATTTTTTACATGCACCCAGGTAACACTGATGTTCACCATCCAGAGAGCTGCCAAAGATTTTTGAACAAGGGAGTAACATGATCAGATTTGCATTTTAGAAATATGCTATTAGACCAAGCAGACAATCACAAAGAAGGTAAAATTCACTATTGGTAAATGAGCATGTGACTTTGCTTTGCATTAGAATCACCTGGGGAACTTGTAAAAATGCAGACTTTACAACTCACAAAGACTTACTACATCAATTCAAGGCAGAAGGAGCTAGGGTTTATATTAGTTTGAACCATACAAAATTGCCATTTATGTAGGTCAAATATTAGCAATTTCTCATAGTTTACATTAACATTTTAACAAGTCTTCCCACTCCATGCTTCTGGTATAAACCAAAGTCTGAGAATAGTTACTGAAACACAGACAGAGCTAAACACTTTTCCCTTTTTATTAATTATTGATGTCATTACTCACTTTAATATGCAAAGATGGAAGTAACATAATTTATGTACCTAAAATAAATGTTAAAAGAGAAAAGGAGGGGTTCAGAAACAGCCACCAATGAAGTAAGGCAGCTAATTTAAGGATTTTAGAACCAGAAGGAACACTGGAGATTATTCCACTCTTTCCCCACCTCTCAACACAAGTTTATACATAATAAAAGTGATGCCTAAGTGGAGAAAAGCAATCTGCTTGAGGTTATAGGGAATATTTTGTTCAGTTTCGCAATGACATGTGCTTTTCACGTGTTCTTATGTGCATTTTAATGGGTATGAAAATTGTGTAGCTAAAAATACTTAGGATTTAACCTATAGAGTGCTAGGTCACACACTTGAAACGGGAGGAGGCACATGAAGCCAATACTCATGCTTAGCCACTTTTAAAATATAAAACCTAAAACAGTGCTTGACATGTAATAGACGTTTAATAAATACTTACTGGGCAAATGAGTGACCTCTAAAAAATAGGTTAAAGAAAGTATATTAATGCAAAGGATTTCCAAGGAAGTATACAGGTAGTGAACTAAGTGTAGATTTCCCACCTCCTCACCTGTTCCAAGTAGTCTTCGGTGCTCATTCATGACCCACCACCCTATAAATCCCAGCTCTACACCTTTATTTTTCCTACTGAAAGTGCCACAACAAAAAAAATAATACCAAGATCATGCCTGAGCTAAGTTTGACAATAGGTGGTAGTGAAGCTTACAGATGGGCACAGCCTTCAAAGTCCATCCCAATAGGAATAATAGCTAACACTTACTGACAGCTAATAGAAGCTATACTTGAGGGATTCAATGATAGTTAACGCTAGCTATACAATAATAACAATAGCTAATTTGTGCCTAGTATGTGTCAGGCTTGTTAGCCCTTCACATGCATTCACTTATTTAATCCCTTTAACAATCCTCTGATGTAGGTGCTATTATTATCATTTTGATCTTATATATGTGGATAAACCGGTTAAGTAACTTGTCCAAAAATCATGCAACTGGAAAGTGGCAGAGCTGAGAGCTGAATCCAGACTGCCTGGTGCCTAGAGTTTACCAACTGAACTCTGACCTCTCAGTGGTAAAATTGAAAGTTCCCTGCAAGCTGACCTGTTGGAGCACTCATGTCAGGAAGACGACATTTCTGGATAATTTAATTTGGCCCCAGTCTTTTCATCCATAAGAAAGGAAACATTTTTATTTGGGAAGCCTATACACACAGTGAGACCCAGGATATAAAGGAGTAAGGCAAGAAGAACCAAGAAGAAATGTCATTCTCTTCTGCCTTGGCACAGCATGGTTGTCACTGCCTAAGAACAATGATAATGGCTAATTTTGGCTAATAAAATCTCAAACTTTGACTTTTCCCTAAAGAATGTGGAGGCTTGCATGAGGATATGTTTCTCAAGAAGCAGCAAAGATACCGCTGTCATTCATTTATTCAGCGCTGTCACTAAGAAAAATACTTCCAGAAAGAAAAATAAGGACAAAACACTTCCCTAAACTAGGCGTAAAAGTCCTCTAGCAAAGGAATTTAAAAGAAAAAGATCAACACCGGATTTATCTTTCTTAAGTAACTATCACTTGAAAAACCGTCCCTTCCAGCACTCCCTAAGGAGCCAAACATACTGACAAGGCCCCTTTGGGCTAAGACTACGAGCTCCCACCCCTACTGATCGCTGAGAACTCAGGAAGGGGAAGCATCCCTCCAGCCTGGAGGTTATCTGCACAAGCTGAATACCAAGGTCTGGAGAAAGAAGTTTAGAAAACAGTGACTATCCCAGAGGGGAAGTTCAACTGACCTAGAAGAAAGGGCCCAGCTGAAACTGCTTTTCAAACTCAGTCCGATTTTCCCCAAATCTCCCTACATCCAGCTGTATCGCCAGGCAAAATGAAACAAACACAGACAAGGCAATACAAGGGCAGGAATTATGCAAAATAAAATGCGTAATGAGGATGTCTCTCCATCAAAAATACTCCAAGATTTTCCTACACAATCCCATGTAACAAAACCAAATGCAAACAACAATAAACCCTTGAGAAGCACATAAACGTTTAACGCAGACTGAATCCATCTCGCCCCAACTCACGCAGCACCTCGGCATCCAGGCTAAAGAAGATGTGCCCCCCGCCCAGGAGAAGCCTTCCGGCGTCCGGCCAAGGTCCAGCAGCCGCCAAAGTTAAGTTTGTCCAACTCTTACCCAGGTCCAGAGATCTTGAGAATCGCAACGCAACCTTTTCTCCCCGGTCTTCACCCAAAGCCAGCCAAGATACAAAATCTATTCCAAACAGCGCTGTTAGCGTCCAAGCAGCGTACCAGAAGAAAGCGATCTTTACAGTCTTCCTTCGGGCGCAAAGGTGGAGACGCGGGAAAGAGGAAAGTCTCAGCGCGTTCCCAAACCCCCAGTTTTGCGCACCGGGAAAGTACTTGCTGCAAACTTGAACAAGGTTTTCTCTGTCTGGCCTGAGATGCTGGAGGAGGAGGGGGGGTAACCCGAGCCGGGGCCGGGATTCGAGCAGTTGCCTCTGTTGCAGCTGCTACTGCCGGGGCAGTGGCCGCTGGGGGGTTGTCGCTTGGCGCCGCGCGCAGTCCCTAGCGCAACTCACAGGATCTTCCTGGCCCGACTCAGCCACCTCGATAGTGAGTCGCCCCTGTCTGAGCGGCTGCCACTGCCTGGGGGGGGTGACCCCGCCAAAGGCCTAGTCGGGAAGTTAGCAAATGTTGGGGTCACCTCAGGGGGTGACCGAAGAGGTGGCAGAGTGGGTGTCCGCCTGAGTCCCAACCCACGATGGGTGCGAGTCCCTCGTCAGAGTCCCTGAGAGGTGTTCTAGACCCTCTGTAAAGATTTGTGGGACCGGGGCCGGGGCCCGAGCGGCCAACTGGAGTGGACGGCGCGTCCTCAGTGGTGTCAGGGGAGAAAGCGCAAAGGTGAGCGCCGGAAAGGATGGTGATTAAGCCGTGCCAGAGAGTGCGATGCGGCAGCAAAGTGCCTAGGAAGATGGGGCGAGGAGGTGAGGGCAGCGGGTGGAGGGTGGGACAGTCTGCTTTACCAGGGCGGGGCCGAGAGAGAACTCCCGGGACGCGCAGGAAAATCCCCACCGGTCCTCGGAGGCCTTGCGCGGCGATTTATTGGGGAATGGCTCCCTCTGCTGACTAGGCGAGGAGGCCCCAGGAGGCCCAGTGATGGAATGTTAAAACCATGAACAGGCGCTTCCATTTGTGGGTTGGACGGGAATTCTGAAATCTGCTTCTATGACTGTCCATCTTCCTCTTCCACACTAAAGAGTTTTCCAGCTTTTACAGGACCCCTCAAAATACAAACCTGATTGCTGCAAAGTTCTTTCTTATGTCGTTGAATTCTATCCCGCCTCTCCCCCACAAAACAAAAACAAAAACAGGCTTGTGCCCCATAACCGCGCCAGATAATAGTCTCCTATGAGACTTCTCTTCCTCCCATTAATAAGAACTCTTGCTTTTTAGAGGGACTTCAAGAGCATTCTCGTCCCTAGTCAATAACAACTTCTGGAAAATAGTATAGACTCCATATTATGCTCGAGTGGTTAAAGGAATGGAATGAATGAACACAGATCTGTTTGAAGTCCCGCACCATCCTCTTTACTCTCCCTGGCAGTACACAGGAGAAGACTGTTTTGGTGTTATTCGTTTGGTTGTTAACCAGTCATCATTGCCCCTTCTCTGGTACCAGTACCTCCATTTTTCTTAGAGGCACCACCCCTGCCACAAGGATGGCAGTCTGGGTGGGAAGGTCAGTCAGGATGGTCCAACTTTTCCCTGTCCAGAAGAGAGCACCTGACCTAAGCTAAGCACCTCAGACCCTCTCTGCTAGGAATCGGAACTTTGATCTGGGCAGCACAAGAACAAATAATTCTAGAGGTGATTGATCTATATGGCTGTTTTCTAAGGAAACTGGTGGTTAGTTCATGCCACTTATTACCCAAAGATATTTTGCTGTATGCTTTGTGAAACTTGGTTGCTCCACTTTCCTTTTAATTTTTTAGTCAACTTTATTGAGGCATAAGTTATGTTCAACATATTACACTCATATTAAGTGTACAGTTTCATGAGTTTTGAATAACGTATACACTCATGTAACCACTGCTTCAATCAAGATAATAAACAATTCTATCCCCAGATGGTTGTCTTTAAAGTCAACCCTCATCCTACTTCATATTTGGCCCACTTAGCTGTTTTCTGTAACTATAGATTAGATTTGTCTTTTCTAGCATTTCATAAGAGTGGAATCACTTACATATTCCTTTGTGTCTGACTTCCTTCACTCCACATAATGCTTTTGAAATTCGTTAATGTTGTGCCTGTATCTGAAGTTTGTTCCTTTATATTGCTGATGAGTATTCCTTTGTATGGATATACCACAATTTGCTTACCAGTTTACCAAATGTTGATGGACAATGGGGATGTTTTCAATATGGGGTTATTATGAATAAAGCTGCTACGAACATTCTTGAACAAGTCCTTTTGTGGACTTACATTGTTATTTTTCTTATCTTACAGGAATAAAATTATTAATACAGTAACTGTGTGTTTAACTATACAGAGACGAACTGATTTCCAAAGTGGAAAACATTTTACATTCTCACCAGCAAGATATGAGAATTGCTTCACATCCTCATCAACACTGGGTAGTTTCTGTCTTCTTTTTTTGGCATTCTAGTGAGTGTATTTCATTGTGGTTTTAATTTGCATTTCCCTGCTGACTAATAATGGTGACCATAAAAGATGTTTACCAGTTTTTCATGTGCTCTCATGCCAGCTGTTCTTTGATAAAGTGTCTGAATTTATTGCCCAATTTTTAAGAAAGTCTTTGGATTCTCATTATTGAGTTGTAGGAGTTCTTTATATACCGGATGTTTGTCAGATATATAGATGTAAAACAAATATACACTCCCAGTCTGTCTCTTGCCTTTCAATTTCTTAATAGTGTTTTTCAAACAGCAGTTTTTAATTCTGATGAAGTCCAATTTATCAAGTGTTTTTTTGTGTGTGGTTGTACTTGTTATGTTTTACATTAATCTTTGCTTACTCTGGCTTCTTACAGAAGTTTATAGTTTTAGCTGTTATATTTAGGTGTATGATCTATTTGGCGTTAATTTTTGCGTATGGTATGAGGTAAGGGCTGAGGTTTATTATTGTCCGCGTGGATATCCAGTTGTTTTGACACCATTTGCTGAGAGGATTATCTTTTTTCCCATTGAGTAACCTGGATACCTTTACTGAATATCAATTGGCCATAGATGAATGAGTCTATTTCAGGACTCACTCATTATTCCTGTCATTTGATCTATATTTCTATTCTTATCCCAAAATCCTACTGTTTTGATTACTATAACTTTATAATAGGGCTCCAACTGAGGTGTAATAGCTCTTCCGATTGTGCTCCTTTTAATTTTTTTTTCAAAATTTGTTTAGCTCTTCTGCTTTTGTTTTTGTTTGGTTTTCATCTTCTACATAAATTTCAGAATTAGCTTGTCAACGTTTTAAAAATCCACTTTTTTAATTGAGAGGGTCTTGAATCTATTTATCAATTTAAGTAGAATTGGCATTACAATATTGATTCCTCCAACCTATGAACATGGTATCTCTCTCCGTTAATTTAGGTGTTCTTTATTATTTCCAGCAATATTTTGTAGTTTTCAGCATAGCAGTATTACACATAATTTTAAAAAAGAATCCCTAAGTATTTTCTTTATTTTTGATATTTCATAAATGGAATTATTTTTGAGTTCTTGTTTCCAATTTTTCATTGCTGTATGGAGAAATACAGTGAATTTTGTACAGTAACCACACGTGGCTAAATTTACTTATTTGTTCTAATAGTTTTCTTTTTAAGTTTCCTTAGGATGTTCTATATGCTCTGCTTCTTTTATTTGTCTTCCCTTATTACACTGGGTAGGATGCCCAGTACAATGCTGAATACAAATGGCAAAATTTAGTGTCCCAGCCTTATTGCTCATCATAAACCAAAAGCAATCAGTCTTGTACCATTAAGTAGGATGTTAGTTGTAAGTTTCATTACACTCTCTTTATTAATTGAGAAATTTCCTTCTATTTATAGTTCATTAGAAATTGTTTATTTTACCAGGAGTGAGTACTGAATTTTCTCAATTTTTTTCTGCATCAGTTGAAATTATTATATAGTTTTTCCCCTTTTTTCTGTTAGTTGATTGAACTATTTATTAAACTTGCCTTGCATTCTTGGATTAAAGCTTACTTGGTTAGTGTAATGGATTATACATTTGATATGCTGTCGGATTTGATTTGCTAAAATTTGTTCAGGATATTTGTGTCCATACTCATTAAAATTATTGGTCTGCATTTTTTTCTTGTGATCTCTTTGTCTGGTTAGAAGTTCATCAATTTTTAAAAATCTATTCAAAGGATTGGCCTTTAGTTTCGTTGATGTTTTTCTATTACTTACACATTTTCTACTTTGTTGATTTTAGCTCTCACCTTTACTATTTCCTTCCTTCTACATACATTAGATTTATTTTTCCCTTTAATTTCTTAAAGTCAAATTTTTGCTTATTGATTTTTAGATTTTTTTCTATAGAAGCATTTAAAATCATAAACTTCTTTCTAAGAAGTACTGTAACCATGTTCCATAAATTTTGGTAACCTTTTTATATGGTTCAAAATATTTTTTTCTTTAACCCATAGGTTACATAAAACATTGGTATTTAATTTCCATATTTGGGGGAATTTTTTAGATATTTGTTTATATATTCTGTAAATACATAATGTCTTATAATGTCTTATGTATTTACAGAATACATGTCAATATTTGTTAGAAGCATAGAGTATGTTATGAGGGGAGCATCTCAGGTTTTCATCGCCTTGAGCACTTATCATTACTATGTGTTAGGAACATTTCTAGTCCTCTCTTCTAGCTACTTTGAAATGTACAACACATGGCTACTAACAGTAGTCACCCTACTCTTCTATTGAACATTAGATCCTATAACTTCTATCTAACTGAATGTTTATGCCTATTAACCAACCTCTCTTCATGTCTTCCTCTCACTTACATGCTCTTCCCAACATTTAGTATCCACTTTCTACCTTCAAAAGATCAACTTAGCTCCCTTACATGAGTGAAAACACAATATTCATCTTTCTGTATTTGACTTATTTCACTTAATGTCCTCCAGTTCCATCCATGTTGCTGCAAATAACATGATTCCATTCTTTTTTATGGCTGAATAGTATTCCACTTTGTATATATACCACATTTTTTAATCCATTCATCAATTGATGGGTGCTTACATGGATTCCATATCTTTCCTATTATGAATAGTGCTACAATAAACATGGGGTACAAGTATCATTCTGATACATTGATTTCATTTCCTTTTATTAAATACCCAGTAATGGGATTCAGATACATTTTTATTTAATTTAATTTTATTACAGCCAGGGAGAATAGTTCATCTTATTTCAATGCTTTTAAATGTACTGAGACTTGCTTTATGGTGAAAATATGGTTTTTCTCAGCAAATGGTTCATGTGCACCTGAAAAGAATGTACAGCTTCTGCTGCTGGTGGGTAGATTGTTCTAAAAATGTCAGCTGGGTCTCATTAGTCAACACTGCTGCTCAAGTCTTCTATTTCCTTTCTAATTTTTACTACCTTTATTCTGAATACTACAACATTACTAATACAATCTTAGATTAAGTGATTTTTTCATTGGTGGTAACTCTATCACTCTGTTAACATATAATTTATAATTTACTAAAATTCCAATTATTTTTCATATTTGCTATTAATCTTGACTTCTTTTTCTTCCCACATCTTCCTTTTATTGAAAAAAATTTTAGAAAATGGCAGTTAATAAAAGGCACAAACAAATCAATAGGGATATACTAGTGGAAAACACAATATAAAACTAAAATGCCATTGGCTTCTTTAATTGGTTAACAGCACAAAATATAACAGGCAGAAGATGCTCTTCTCCTTATCTGTTTCAAACAAATTAAAAAGCTATGTGTTTTTTAAATTCTCCGCAAATCAGATATATACACACCCACAAAAATAGTGTGTAAAGGAAAGCTGTCATACACAAGAAGTTGTATACTGAATTATTCAAGGAAACACACGTTGAAATAGGAATTAACAGAGTCAGCAACAGATTAATAATTTTTTAAAACTGAGTCTTAATATGCTACATAGCCCAAAGCTATATTATATAAAGTACTGCTAGGCACAAAGGAAAGTCTGTACAGCTTTTAGCAAAACTGCTTTCCCAAAAAGCAAATTAAAACAATGCAATAGCAGACCAAGGAGACTACAGCTAGTCATCAGAGCTAAAACTTCTCATATCTCTGTCAGAAAATCTTCTTTATCCAGAATAAACTAAAATTTCAGGACAAAACAGGGACTTGTTAACATTTCTTACTTTACCCATTTTAAGTTCTTTTTATCTCCTCCACCCCCAAAAGCAGTAATTCAGCAAGATTCAGCAGAAAGAGGGCTACTTTTAGAATTGGCTATTTTATTTTTCTTTCTATGACGAGACTGTCATGGAGTCTGGATATTTCAGGCTCATATGCATCCATAACCAGTGTCCCACTGTGGTCAAAAAACTTAGCAATGGACTTGGTGAACTCCGCTTCCCGCTGCTGCTTTGTTCTCCCACTGATGAAGGTCAGTTTCAAGGCGTATTTGTCATCAAACCTTTTAAGACTGGAGGGCAGCTGCCAAATATCATCAGGATCCATTCCTGTAGGATCTTTCCTGTGGGCCACAGGAAAGATGCTGTTCTCCTTATATGAGGTACAAATGGTCAGAATCCCCATCATCACAAAACAGGATATGACGCACAAAGCCAAAACGGGTTTGGACTCTGGAAAGGGGTGCATACAATCCCAAATCAAAGCCACTATGGCAAAGACACAGGAGATTGTACAGATGGTGAGGCGACCGTCAATTAGACCAAAATTCTCCACATATTTGTATTTTTCCAGAAGTACCTTTTTGGCAGAGTCATCCAAAGAGTTTTTCACGGCTGACCATCCCACTTGTCAATTTTTACAGGCTTATCGTCTATCTGCCACTTATCCAACAAGCCGCTACGGCCAGTGCCCGCCCCGCAGCTGGAACCACCGCCAGCCCCAGCGCGGCCTCCCCCACCGCCGCTTCTCCCGCCTGCGCAGCTGCCGCCGCCTTCTTGTCCGCCTCTGCGTCTCCCCTAATCTTGACTTCTTAAAATATTATTTGTATTTTTAGTTGAGAATTTCATAGTAATTTTATAAGACTGTTCATTTAGCGCTATCAAATTCCATTTTTGTACATGCAGTCCCTCTTTAGAGCCTATCAAGGTCTTGGTGGAGCTAATTCTTTTCCTAATATGTTAGCTAGCCAGCTTGAAATCATATTTGGAGTTGATACAGAAAGCCATGATGCTCTTGAGCAAATAATTATTAGACATGTAGACATGGATAGAAGTCAAATGCAGAGTCTAACAGAGACTTTCTTCTCCATTTATATTTTTTCACATCCTGTAGTACAGTCATTCAATCGCTGATAAATTCTACAACTCTATTATTATTACACCCAGCCTACGTTCTTCATCTGATCCACAAGGATTTTATGGGATATTTTTCAATTACCTTTTAAATCCAGATATATTCTCATTTGTTCCATTTACCTGTCTGCTAATATTTTGAATAAAGAAAACTAAGTCAGCCTACCAGTTCTACCTCTTAGCAAACAAGGTTGGCTTCTTATACCCATGATTTCCTTTCTGTAGTGCTCTCAAATTATGCTTCTAAATCAATGATTTAAAAGCTTGCTTAGTTACAGCAATAGACTAGAGTTCACAGAATTTACTACTTCTTCCCACTTAAAAAAATAGAAGTGGGGGTTACTGCAGGGTGTAAACTCATAAGTATGGCAGAAGGTTATCATTTGTTTTTTTTACTTCATTCACTTCTAACAAGAGGCATGTATAATTATTCCTGCTTTACAGGTAAGAAAATGAAGGCTCAGAGAGATCAATTATCTTGCCCATGATCCCATATCTAGTGAGTGGCAGAGGCAGGACTGACCCTGGGTCTAACTTCAAAGCTTATGTTCTCTCTACCACTTCACCTGCCTCAGAACTACGTCCGTTTATTCTGGTCTTCTGATTGCTCACTGTGGTTCTTCAAATCTCACCATTGTGCTATGTTTAAACACCTTTTCCCCATAATCACTGAAAATCTGCACTGAAAAAAAAAATGCTCAGGAGCCTCGGACACTCTTGTGTGTACACAGCTTTATCTCTCCCAACAACACAAATGCCAAAAAGATAGGTCTCAGCCGAGGGACATAGAGGATTAGAAAGGCGGGGTTCTTGGCCCATGAGTGTCCTCCTATATACCTTCATTTCAGTATTCTTCCAGTCCTAGATATTTTTTAAGCTCCCTTCTCCAGTAGGACTTTTGTCCACATTTTTTAAAAGATCACTGTCTTTTAAAGGTAGTGGAGGAAGGAAGGGAAGAGCAGAGCAACGGATAGGGAAATTGTATTTGCAGCCCTTGACCCTGTATCAGGAGTTAGGAGTACTTTTATGTCTTCTTGATGCAACATGTCTTCACAGATGTCAGGCAATCCTGGTATTCTTATTGAAAGGGCCAATCCTTTGAACAGGATTCCAAATTCATCATCTTATTTCCCCTAGCTTAGTGTTTCCCCCGACCAAAGAAGTTTTAATATGATCCACAGTAAGAAGTACATTTCTCATCATGACCAAATTCCTATCTTTATAAGTATATATTTAGAACAAGTTTCATGAAACAACACTTACTCTTACCATACAGAATGTCCTCTCATGTTTTCTTAACGATGCTTCTCAAACTTTAACGTGCATGTTCTGTTCATCAGCTAGAGATTTTGTTAAATATGAGGTTCTGATTCAGTATCCAGGGTGCAGCCTGCATTTTAACATATTCCTTCGTGGATGCTTCTGTTTCTTAGATTGCACTTTGATAGCAAAGTTCTATTCTGTATTGTTCTATTTAAATGTTAAATTACTTTCAGGACTCCCAAATGTGTCTGGACTGGCAGTTTGTAAGAGCATTGCTGGTGTATTGGGGCAGCACGCCTATCTAGGATATTCTTGTAAATGTAGACTTACTGTGGAGTGAATTCATGCTTGGAAGTAGTTCAGCAAGAAACAGGCTTTATCTTCCATATACCAAGACCATAGAAGTAAAGACACGAATATCTTCCTTAAATTGCTTTTTATAATTTCAACATTTGATACAGTGAATACATCTATTACAATTTGGAATAAATATATCCAAGTATTCTGCATAATGAGGACTTATGAATGTGTGTGAAAAGAAAGTTGCAGAAGTTAACTGAAGGTGAATATGGCAATGATGAAAGAATCAAGGGGGAAAAAAACATTTCCTGTAGTGTGATCTTTTGTCTGTAATATGAATGCATACTGTCTCAGTAAGAGTTCTTGTTTTCAAGTAACAGAAACCAACTCCAGCTAGCTTAATAAAAACAACATTGAGGGATTCCAGAAGAGTAGGCAGCTGGGAGGACCAAAGTTAAAAATGAGCAAGAACCCCTTTAGAAGACTGGGGAAAAAAGAATCAAAGCCACAGTCTCAGAGCTGAACCAATCTGGACAGGCTGTCCCTGCTGAGATGAATGAACTTGAACCATTTCTTTCCTTAGTCTTCGCATCATGCTCTTAAGATCAAAGTCACAGGAGAGAGCATTCATTTGGCTGAATTTATGTTTTGCACTCCCTCCTGGCTGTTATGAGAAAACAGGAAGGATTTGGCCCTTCAAATTTACATAGTGGGACAGATGGCCTGATACACAATCCTTCTAGGAGCATAGAAAAGTGGGGAGATGAGATCTCCCAAAAGGAAAACAGGATACTACTGGGAAAAGGAAATACTAGGTTAGTGCAAAAGTAATTGAGAGTTTTGCCATTAAAAGTAATTAAAAGTAATGGCAAAGCATGTGATTACTTTTGCACCAATGCAATAGATTCTAAGTCATCAATAAACTGTACTGGACAAGCGCTGTGAATTGGTCAGGCCCTTATTACAAGTATAGCAGGAAAGTAAATGGGATTTCAATTTTGGGTGAACCAGGGGTGTAGTCTCATAGAGTAAATCATAATTGGTGTACATTCTAAGTACATCCAAATCCACTCCTTGCACAACTTAATAAAAGGCATCAGAAAACCAATTTTGACATCACCACCATCACCACTCCAACTCCTATCCTTTTTCCCTTATAGAAGAAAACTAAGGAACTCAAGAGGAGTCATCAGAATTCCTGCCATGTGGGAGACATCAACCCCACTGGTGACTTTTTTTTCTGCTCCACATATTAGAGGTAAGAGGAATATTTCTTCCCTCTCTATGGCAAGTTAAGTGAAAATGGAGGGGGAAGCAAGAGAAACAATCACAGTGATGAAGAATGCTAGCAAGAGGTAGAAGCCAGCATCTCCAACCCTAGTTAGACCTCTGTGAAGTAGAACAGGCACATTTACTCTCCCCACACATTTCAACAGAAGAAAGTAATTGGAAAAGACAGTAGGCACGTTCTGTTCCCACTGTTTGGTGATGAGAGGATGCCTGAGTTTCCTTAGGGCCAAAAAGACACCACAGGAGATATCTGGGCTTAAGCAATCTTGACGTTACCCTGCCTAAGAGGGCTGCCTGCTACTGGAGGAGCCAAGTCAAGGAGCAGGAGCTGAAGGTGGATGGTGCAGAAGAATCTGGGTTGTGGGCATCACCCACATCAGATGCCTATGCAACTGGGGCCCCTGCCAAGCCTAATGAAGAGCCTGCCCATGCCCTGCCCTTCAGCAGTGTCCAGACATCGGCCACAGGCACATTTGGCCATCCAGTGTGCACCACAGCAGCAGCAGCTAAGCAAATGCCTGTTCTTTCCCTCATCCCTGCTCCAAGACCCCAACACTCTGGGAGATACGGAAAAGATGAAGGAAGAGCAGGAAGTAGAGAGGAGCAGGAGAGAAGCGACATACACAAGATTCCCCCAGGGTAGGAGCATTTGCACCTGGTCACATCTAGACTGACAGGAAGAGTGAAAACGTGGAAATGATATGAGACTCAAGCTATAAACTTGACTTTTTTAAACCTGAAAGTGTCTGAAATGCCACAGATGCTTCCTGAGACGTCGTGAAGGGACAGAAGTCTCTCATCAAAGCATGCTTGAAAACAATGAGGAGAAATCAAATAAGAGGGTTTCATGTTAGTATCCCACTAACTCCAATAAACTGGTTGCACAGCAAAAGAAAAGAAAAGAAAAAAAACCCTGACTTCCAGTACTATAAGCAGAAAAGGAATTTATCGAGATGCTGCTGGGTGCTCAGTGTAACACCCAGAGGGGCTGGAAGACTAGGTTAGGAAGATGGTGCAGGGACACAATGAAGTTCTGCTCTCAGAGTTAACATCATTCCTTGGAACTGGTCTGGGAAAGCTCTGCCATTGGATGCCAGATGCCAGAATTCTCACCATCAACACCTCCAGCCCCGGACACTGACTCTGAGGCAACCACTGCCTCTGGGAATAGCAGGTTGCTGACTTCCCTGAGCTGCTGAAAGAATTCTCCATTGTCCGAGGTTCCAATTCAAAGCCCAGGGCTGATGCACCTGATTGGCCGAGCTCCAGACGCATGCGCAAGGCCACTTTGGAAAGGAGTCCAAAGAAGCAGGTATATGCACTTTGTTATTTCTCTCCTGCGAGAAACGCTCTTCCTCTCAGCAAGTCTCTGAAGCAGGGTTGCTATTAGCCCATACGGTGCTTTGTGCAAAATGAGGAATATGCAAGCCTCTACTTGGGAAAATAAGCAGGAATCTTTCCTGTCTCCGGTGGCTACAGAACACTGTCAGGGATCAGGGATCACAGTATGACTGCATTTCGGCCTCACGTGCCCTCTCTGCTGGGAGTCTTTGTGCAGTGCACACACTGCACGAGTGTATGTAGTAGCCCTGCTCATAAGGTGAGCGTTTCTCAAATATAAACGGGGATGCAACTGAGGTAACAGATATATACTACAGGAAGTCATCAGACTTGTGGAGAAACACAGTTAACAAATGTTGAGCACACAGCTTGATGGCGATCAGTGGAGAGATGCTGTTATGAAACCAAGACAAGTGAACAAAAGCCAGGCAACTACTGGGCTTTGCTGAGCACACACTTCCTGTATTAATAAAACTGAACCACCATCATGAGGAGCATCCCTTTGCATCTCGTATGGAATTTGTCCTCCAAAGAATGGAGGCACCAAGTAATACTGACAGAGAGTAGGCACATCTGAATCATCACGCAGAATTACTTAGAACCAGCAAATGTTTAATCAGCACAAATGTTACTATTTACACCACCACCCCTCCTGAATGAGAGGATCATTTTCTTATATTTAACAAAGATTTATGAAAAATCTTGTATGTTTTCATGTTAAAATTAATATTCATTTGTTCACAATTGCAACAGTAACTAAGCCAAGTGTTTTTGAGAGAAAACTGTATATTATTTTAATACAATATAATAATATATAAACTCTTTTGCCCACATATTCATGATCAAATTAAAAGTAAACACTAGTACGTTCTTGCTGTTTTCATCCTGAAAGTAATAGAAATAGAAAAGACAAAGAGATTGATCAGATCATTTGATATCAACTAGTCAGGAGAGAAAAAGCAGATTTGATTCAATTAAATGATTTGTCTATAACACCATTCTGCATCAGATCAGTTGTATTGTGCATGTATTACACAGTCAAGCTTCTAGGTTGACTGATTTTATAGATACTATGTCTGGAGTCTCTTTCTATAGTGGAGTGCCAGGTTGAAAGTCTATTTTGGGAGGGTTCAAATTAGCATGGAAGGAGGAGTATTTGACACAGAGTATTGTCTTTCAAGTTTTATTCTAAACAACAGCAAAAAAAAAAAAAAAAAGAGGCAGTAATTAGACAGGGATATAAGATCACAGGAGAGTTTTCTGAGGTGGAAGGAATGCTGTTTCCCCATGCTGTTGGGAGTGGCCCATGGAGATACATTGTGGCTGAGGGGTGGCTCACTATCACTCCAACATTATTTCTGAGCATTCTTGGCTATTTTAATATTCTCTGCGGATGGCCTTTTCAACAGTCCTGGGCTCTCGCTTCCAGGATCTACTTTCTTCCAGTGATCCTATTTTCCATCCTACCTCAGCCACTCACTACTATTGCCACGACCTAGACTTGCAGCCTCTTAATCTCAGCCATAAAAAAGGATGAGTTTATGTCCTTTGCAGGGACATGGATGAAGCTGGAAACCATCATTCTCAGCAAACTAACACAGGAACAGAAAACAGAACACCGCATGTTCTCACTCATAAGTGGGAGCTGAACAACGAGAACACATGGACACAGGGAGGAGAGCATCACACACTGTGGGGCAATGATGGAGAAATATCTAATGTAGATTTGATGGGTTGATGGATACAGCAAACCACCATGGCACGTGTATATCTATGTAACAAACCTGCATGTTCTGCACATGTACCCAATAACTTAAAGTATAAAAAATAGTAATAATAATTGTAGCCTCCCTATAATCTCAATTTCAAGCACCTCACTCTTCCATTATTATTTTTCTAACTTTCTTGTTCGCTCAGTCTGCATCACCAACTCAAATAATTCTAATACATCAGTATCCAAGTCCACCGATCCTAGCCTTTTCATGTTCCTCAACATTTTAAGTTTTTGCCTCCCTCCTTACTCGGCTTAAATACCATGTTAGTCATCATGGTAATTTAATTCCATACACTCAACTGATTTGCCCTTCTCTTGCATTTTACTCACCCAGAAAAATCCCAGTGCTGGTTCAGTCCAACTCTCCACGAACTCCATGGTGGCACTGGTGCAGTTTAATGTGTTGGAGAAAAATAGAAATACAAACATTAATGAGCATCAGTCTAAATTCATGACTACTAGCACTAAGCAGAACCTTGGCACTACCCAGCAATCCAATCATATCTCCTTAGTTCACTTGCTCTTCCATTCTTCTATATGGTGATCTTCTCTCTTTTCAAACATCCAATATCTCTTCTTTCATATTCACTGTCAGTTGAAGACCCTGCTCCTAATTTCCCTATTTCACTGAGAAAACTGAAGCAATTAGAGGAGATTCTCCACAAACTTCTACGACTACAGGTGGTCACCCACCTTCATGTCTGGTTGTGTGCCTTGCCTTCCCTCCTGATGAACTGACCGTTCTCTTATTTAAGGCCATCCTCCGCACTTATGCACTAAGTTTATTCCCTTGGGCCTCCCAAGTGACGTGGATTTCTCCCTTTCTTTCCTGCATTATTATTCTCTCCTCTCAGCAGGAGTACTCCCATCAGTATTCCAAATATTATTACTTCTTCCACTTAGAAAAAGCATCCTGTTTGGACCCATTCTCCTCCTTCAGCTATTCTCTTCACTGTAAACTCCTTGAATTAAATTTTTAAACTTACTATATTCATTTTTTTTTCCTTCTATTCTCTCTTATATCTCCTCTAATCAGGGTTTTGGCTTCCAACCCTCAATTTAATACTGCTCTCTTTTTTTCAAGGTAATCAAATGAGATCCAAGTTGCTGAAACCAATTGTCAGAAACATTTTCTCTCCCCTTCATTGAATATCTTTCTTGACTTGACATCCAGGATACATGACTTTTATAGTTTTCCCTTTCTCTCTCTGGTGGCTTCTTCTGCGACCTTTGTTGGTTTCTTCACATCTTTCCAACCACTAAATTTTGAGGTGCCCAGGTCTCAATCATTGGATCACTTTTCTTTTCTAGCTGCTATAACTCCATAGACTATCTCATCCACTCAGAACCATAAATACCATTCCTTTACTGACCACTCCTAAATATAGACCTTCAGCCTTGACCTCTGCCCAACTGCCCTGGACATCACCTCTCAGTTCACAGATGGGCATCTCAAAACTGGCATGTTCAAAACCCAACTCCTAATTTTCCCACTAAAGTCTGCCCTTCCCAAATCCATCCCATTCATCTCCATCTCAGCAAGTGGCATCTTTATCCTTTCATCTGCTCAGATCAAAAACTTGGTGTCACCCCTAGTTGCTGTTTCTCTCACACTCACCATTAAAACTATAAGCAAACTCTATAGGCTCTAACTTCAAAATATATTCATCAACCTACTCCAGACCTCCATCATTACCCTGAATTAATACAGTGGTCTCTTTATTGTTCCCCCTGTTTCTGACTTTAACCCCCTACCAATCACTCCCAGCACCACAAAGTGATCTTGTTAAAACAGAAGTTAGATCAGGTTTCTCTCTTGCTCTAGCCCCCATGTCCTCCCATCTTAGAGTCAAAATCTTCACAATGCCTCTGTTTTAAGTCTTGTTCTCCAGAAAATAGACTCTGAGATGGAGATCAGTAGGCAGGAGGTTTATTGGGTTTGCTCTTGGGAACAACACTTGTAAGGAAGTGAGGAAAGCAAAATTGGGCACAAGGACCAGTGGACTATGGTATAGTTACAACAGGCCCTCAGAGCTGGCCTGAATTGAGGCAAGGGAACCCAACTCTTTTTTTTTTTTTTTTTTAATGCATTGATTTTACTTTAGGTGCATACTGTATCTTGCATTTCTCCCCACATTATCCCTCCCCACCCTCCACTCCCTCCCCATCCCCCACTGTCTCTCCCCTACCCACCCCCCAACTGCCCCTAGTGTGTGATGTTCCTCTCCCTGAGTCCCTCAAGGACAGTCTTTGGATGTGGTCTGCTCCTGGGAGGGAGCATAACCTTGGGAATGAAGTTCTTTTCTGTTGAGGGCAATTTCAGATAAGAAACTGAGCTAGGAGCCATCTACAGCAACAACCAGTTGCCTCTTGGTTTTATCTTCTGCTCTCCTCTTACTCTATACTTCAGATACTTTAGTCCCCTTGCTTTTCTTCAAATACGCCAGACTCATTTCTACCTTAGAGCCCTTGCAGTTTCCTCTGCCTGGAATGGGGGTCTGGTTCCATGATATCCTCAAATTTCATCCTCTCAGTGAGCCTTCTTATTCAGTATTGTAGCCCAACACCCCTTCCGCAATACAGCTGATCCCCTTTACCATGCTCTAACTTTTCTTTTTTAATACCACTTTTGACTTTCTAATAGCCTATGTAATTTATTTATTCATTATGTTTATTGTCTGATATGTCTTTCTCCCACTAGAATATAAACTTCTTAATCTTTGCCTATTTTGTTTACTGATATATCTCAAGCACGAAGAGGTGTCCTCATGCATAGTAATTTTCATAATGAATATATTTTAAACAAAAGTTTTATAACTCAGTAGAGGATTTTTGTTTTCCACTTGGAAATTATCTTTCCTAAGTAGGAAATTCTTTTTAACATCAGAGTCTTCTGAATATGAATTTATTAAGTCACTTATTACATTTTCCCAAACCACAGAGTTGCTCAAACACAGCTCTCAGCTGAAGCAGGCTTATCTCTCAGATTGTAGTAATTATCTCATTCCTGCTATAAAAGTAAAGGAAGGGAGGAAGAGCTGCACATAACGAATTAATTAATCGAGGCTTTAATTTTTCTTTAAACCCAGGGAATTCATATAAGCCTGCTTTGTTATTTACCTAACTACCCTCCAGGATATTAATATTATATCCTGCGATTTACAGCCTTAAATGGCCATGATGTGTTTATACAGGTGAAGAACAGGTGCTCTGGCAGAGTTTTTTCTTACATTTCTTGTACATTAATTTACCTCGTAGTCTTCACACTCTGGAATGTCACTAACATGAAAACAACAGAAGGTTATTTTACTAACTGCAGTGCTTTGAATACACTAAGAAAAATATAGTTATGTTTATATAGTATAATGCAATAAACAAGGGAATTGGAGCCCCTGGCAAGACTTTTCTGGTTACCCAGCCCTGCTCAGCCACCCCTATTACCCTTTGGGGGTAAGAAGAATATTTCTTTGTGTTGGAACAACACAAACTGGGTCCTGTCAGAGGGTGGGGGCAGGACAAGGGAGAGGATCAGGAAGAATAGCTAATGGATGCTGGGCTTCATACCTGGGTAATGGGATGATCTGTGCAGCAAACCACCATGGCACATGTTTATCTATGTTAACAAACCTGCACATCCTGCACATGTACCCCTTAACTTAAAAGTTGGAAATTTAAAAAATAGTTAGAATTCACATTTTCTGAAACAGGTACCCCTTTGGTTTGGTTTTCTTTCAAATTGTTTTTAGCATGTATTTGGATTACTTAGACCAAACCAGGACAATGAGATTCAGTACTGAAACTTTTATTCAAACTTAGAAAGAGAATCTCTTTTCCATGGGATTGAAGCTGGAGTTCCTGAGAAGCTGCCTGATGCAGACTGCAACACAGAGAAAAGCAGAACTAAGACATAGAGAGAAGGATTTCACTTTAACCTGTAGATCCAACCATGCCTGCAGCTGAGCTTGTTCACTGGGTAAGATTATCTCTATACTTTTCAGTTTTATGATCCAATAAATTCCTTGTTTTTCTTCAGCTAATTTGTATTGGTTTCTGTCTTTCTCACCTGAAAGAGTGCTATCAAAATGTAACAACCAAAAGTACCTAGAATTTGAAATCAGACAAACTAGATTCTATTATATCTTGGATACAGTTTCCACCTCTAGAGATAATAATTCCCTCTTCTTAAGCCTGTTAAGAGGATTAAATGAGATGGTATGTCCTGCATGTCAGAGATAGTCTAAATATGCTGGTTTTCTTTTTGAATTTGAGTTATATTGATACCACGTCCTTGAGTTTTCACATGGTGTTTTCCTTTTCTGGAGTTCATTAAAAAGTACTTCATTTACACCCATATGTAATATAAGGTCATCTGGGCCTAAACTGAAAAGGGAGAGGGGCAATTTATACAACTGGAAATGGGAAGTTTCTCACCTACTTTCATAAGAGAATCAGTTTGGTGAGGAATACTATTTGTCTTTGGATCATACAGACCCAAAACAGTGGCTGTGAATTTGTGTTGCTCTTCCCACAGTCTATTCCTTTTTAATTCCTGTCGTAATGTAATGGGAATTACACTGTGCAGGCTCCAGACACGTGATGCAGTTCCTGTTGTCTTCTCAAATGCAACCATGTGTGGAATCTCCATTATTGTCACTGAAGATTTACTTACCTTTTATGATCATCCTGGATTTGTTAAGTACCTTGGTAATCAAACAGAATATAATTAACTGATCATTTGCAGGATTACCTAGCCTAAAAACCAACACAGTAAAATATAGTAAGTATGTTTACTTATGCTTACTATATTTTGCTTACTATATTTAAGTCTGTTCAAATCTCTGTATTAATAAAGGTGATCAGATTATACAATTCAAATGCATTTTTTAAGAAAATATTCCTGGCAAAGAGGATTAGAAACATGTTTAAGCAAAATTCAGAATTCAGGAAAAGCAATCCTACAGCTTACTTTCCGCTATTTTTTCCCTTCAACTAAGCTCTTAAGCTGAATAAATTAAAGTCTCCCAAGATGTTTAAACAGTTTGGTCTATATTAGTATGCTATGGTTCATTATAAAATACAACTGTAAAACCATTGCCAAATTACCCTCTAACACCTGCTTAGTCATAACTGGAAATCTCTAGCAAAGGCATGAATGTCCTGCTTATATATTAATTTTAGCTTCTTATCCATAATTATTTATCACCCCCCAAGAATCCCTCTTCCTTCACCTAAATCTTATTCCTGTCTCTGATATACTATGTAACCTTCATGAACCCATCTTCCCAATCTGTCAGGCAAAGGGATGTTTTCTATTGTCTAATACTCAGTCTAAAATAATCTTGTACCTTGAAGATTTTCTTTCCTTCTTTTAAAAGCTTATCATGGTATGTTCCAAATTGTTTTGAATTAAGAAAAGCAAAGCAATATACCTTTAAAGGTAGACAACACCTCGTACGCTCATATGCATATATTTCTTAAAGAAGCAGAACTTTTTTGTCGTTACTTTTTTATCATAATATGGCTATTATTGTTACTTTCAGCAAGTACTATAATAATTTGCCCCACCACACACCCATCTCATCTCTATTTCCACCCATGTATGGCAGGATAAAACTTCAAAGTATTAGTTAATAGCAAAATTTTCCTCATCTCTGCCAAGGCCCTCCTTTTCAGGCAGTTTTACTTAAGGATCCAATCTAAGAAAAGAAAGAGATAGAGAACAAAAGCATGTAAGGCAGAAATAGCTGGAAAGATACAGGCCAGAGTTTTTCTTAGACTCAATTTTAGAATTCTCTGGACCAGGGAGAAGGAAGAACAGAGATGAGAGAAATAAAATAGAATGAGCTGAGATCCCACATTCTGTATCCATCCCAAGATCTGGGGGTGATAAAGTGATCCATGATAAGTTTAGAATCTTTGAACAAAACAAGGCATGTGACCTGCTTTCTGTCTAGAAACCCAAGAGATGGCAACCCCCACAGAAGCCTGATGTTTGTGATAGTTGCGTGCTAAATACTGTGGGTTGGCCCCCACCCTTGTAAACTCTCTCTTTTATCACAGGGCTAGACGTCTGGAAACTACTTTTTCCAATCTCCTTTTTTTGTTCCAGACTTGCCAGTGGACTTGCACGAGATTAAAGGGAAATGCTGGGGCAACTGGATAGCCACATGCAAAAAATGAAGTTGGACCTCTACCTTACATCATACACAAAAATTAACTCTAAATGGATCTAAGACCTAATTGTACCTACTAATCTGTAAAATTCTTAGAAGACAACATAGAGAGTAAATCTTCATAATTTCAGATTTGGCAACGGATTTTTAGATATGATACCCCAAGCACATGCAGCAAAAAAAATTGGATTATTAGGCTTCATCAAAATTAAAAACTCTCATATAGCAAAGGGCTTTAAGAAAAGTGAAAAGACAGATATGATATAAGAGAAAATATTTGCAAATCATATATCTGACAAGGTGCTTGTGTCTAGAGCACACAAAGAACAATTATAGCTCAGTAGTAAAAAGACAAATGATCCAATTAAAAACTAGGTAAAGCATCTGAACAGACATTTCTCCAAAAAAGATACACTAATGGCTAATAAGCACAAGAAAAAATGTTCAACATTATTAAACGTTAGGGAAATGCAAATCAAAAACACAATGGAATATCACTTCATGGCCAGTAAGAAGGCAATAATAAATTAAAAAAAAAAAAAAACAGATAACAACTGTCAGTGACAATGTGGAGAAATTGGAACCTTCATATATTGCTGGTGAGAATATAAATGGGGCGGCTGCTTTGGAAATCTATATAGCAATTCCTCAAAAGTTTAGAGTTACTATATGAACCAGCAATTCCACTCCAAAGTAAATACTCAACATATATAATTCCACACAAAACCTTGTTCGCAAATGGTCATAGCGACATTATTTACAATAGGCAATAAGTAGAAATAACCCAAATGTTCATTAACTAATGAATGGACACATAAAATGTGCTATATTGATACTATGGAATATATTTGGTAATCAGACCACATGAAATATGAACACATATTACAATAAGAATGAATGAACAATAGCACTGAGAACATTATGTTAAGTGAAAGTATCCATTACAAATGACCACTTATTGTAAGATTCTATTTATATAAAATGTCCAGATTAAGAAAATCTATAGAGACGAAAAGCAGATTACTGATTACCCAGGGCCAGAGAGTGAGGTATAAGGGGACTGGGATTGAGGGGTGATGTCAGGTAAGGAAATGTTCTAAAATTTATTGTGGTGATAGATTCTGAACTCTATGAATATTCTAACGGCATTGAATTATATACTTTAAATGATTGGATTGTATGGTACATAAATTATATCTCAATAAATCTGCTTATTAAAAAATGAAAGGGAAGAAGGAAGGCAGAGGCACATCTTCTCGTGCCTTTAGCTTGGGAGCACAGTGCCCTAGGTCCTGCACTCTACTGAACTGCACTACAGTTCCTGTTCCTCCTACTGCAGGAACTACAGGAACAAACAAGCATAGTTTCAGAGGAACGAGAGATGAGCAGTTGTGGTTTCCTGCAGCAGCGGTAGCATCTTCCTGAAGTTCCTAAGCACTGACTAACATAACTTTATCCCCTTCCTTTTGTCTATTTTATCCCTTCCAAAAATTTTTTCAGTTAACTCCCTTTATTAAAATCCAATCTGCTTGAAATGCCTAGAGCGGTTTGTTTTCCTAACTAAATTCTGATCAATAGTACTGCCCAGAGAATGTCCTTTCTCCTTGTTCTCTTCCTAACACATTTTTAAATTTTGTCCAGATATTCATCTCTCCACTACATAGCCAAGTACCACAAAAGACAATGAGTGACAGAGTGACCTCAGCTTCAGGGTTCAGCGTGATTTTTATCTAAGAGTAATCCCATTTATCTTTCTAAGAATTGGTTCAGAAATGGTCATCCAACCTAGTTATGCCAATGAGACATGAAGGGGGGTTTACCAGAAACTTCTGGGAACACTCTTCATTCTTAAGTATGAATCATAAGAAACCAACTAGATATAAAAGAGAAATCCCTATTTTCTGCTTACAGCTATCATACAACCAAGACAGGAGTCTTCTTAAGAACAAAGGTGGCAGTATAGAGGCAGTGCAGAGAAACACAGAGAACCTGAGTATTTAATTGCATTATTGAACTGTTGGATCAATACAGCCTGAAACCCACCTTACCCCTTGAATTCTTATTTATTTATTTTTGAGGCCAAGACTTGCTCTGTTGCCCAGGCTGGAGTACAGTGGTGCAATCTCGGCTCACTGAAACCTCTGCCTCCCAGGTTGAAGCGATTCTCCTGCCTCAGCTGCCTGAGTCACTGAGATTACAGGCATGCACCACCAGGAATGGCTAATTTTTGTATTTTTAATAGTGACAGGGTTTCATCATGTTGGCCAAGCTGGTCTTGAACTCCTGATCTCAGGTGATCCACTCGCCTCAGCCTCCCAAAGTGTTGGGATTATAGGCGTCAGCCACTGGACCCGACCACCTCTTGAAATTTTTTTTTTTTTTTTTTTTTTTTTTGAGACAGAGTTTCACTCTTGTTACCCAGGCTGGAGTGCAATGGCGCCATCTCAGCTCACCGTAACCTCCGCCTCCTGGGTTCAGGCCATTCTCCTGCCTCAGCCTCCTGAGTAGCTGGGATTACAGGCACGCGCCACCATGCCCAGCTAATATTTTGTAGTTTTCAGTAGAGACGGGGTTTCACCGTGTTGACCAGGATGGTCTCGATCTCTTGACCTCGTGATCCACCCGCCTCGGCCTCCCAAAGTGCTGAGATTACAGGCTTGAGCCACCACGCCCGGCCCTCTTGAATTCTTATACAGTATAAGCTAGTTTCACTTAGGTAGCTTGAGATAAGTTTCTTGTTATTCACAACTGGAAACATTTTAACCGATACCCTGAAATACCATGATATGTCCGTCTCTCTAGGCAGAGAAGGCTCGAGACAACTCCCCAGATTCCCATGGCTCCAGAGTGGCACAGACATTATCCAAAAGTTACCCCTAAAAGCTGAGCAATTTAGCTGAGAGGGGCTGATAGACCTGGAGGGGCCTTGCAGCCATGATTAGGGGACACAGCAGTATAAGCTACACAAAACCAGAAACATTGTAGGAATGTGGACATTGTAGTAGAAATCGCAAGAGTAGGATAATGACAACAAGGAACCAGATAATTCCTAGATCACAGCAAATTCCGCATAGGACAGATGATGTCCTGAGACCACACTCTCCCCATTTGACATTTCAGTGCAACTCAAGGACCCATCATCCCTCAGTCCTTGGAAGAATGAAGAATGGACTCTGTTAATTTTCTACCACCAAATAGAATGGAAGCTCAAAATAGAGATTGTTAGATCATAGAAATAAAAAGTTATAGACTGAGAAGATCATAACCCTAGAAGTATACATCCCAATTATGCAGAACTAGTTCTTTGGCCTGTGAGTGGCAGAGGCGGCATGATTATTTTGATCATCTTGAGCATCCCCTCCCCCATTCTGGGTTTACCAATCCTGCATCAAGGAGAATCACAATCAACCTCACTGTATCCTCCTCTGCTGTCTATTCTCATCTGGAATTGTTTACGTTTCAAGCTCAGATCATCTCACAAATGCAAATTATATTGTAATGGGCTCTTGGACACAGCCAAGATCAGAAGTCTTACTATAGAACTGTGGCCCCCTCAGCCATTCCAATGACCCTCACCACCATTGTCACCTTGGCCAAAAGGTGGATATATAATCAGGTCTCTTATTCTGTTTTGTGTTGCCATAAGAGAGTACCATAGACTGGGTAATATATAGTGAACAGAAATTTATTTCTCAAAGTTCTGGGGACTTGGAAGTTCAAGATCAAGGAGCTGCCTTCTTGCTACACACATGACAAAAATGTATCACACAGCAGAAGAACAAAAAGAGGGCAGGAGAGAGCAAGAGAGAGCAAATTCACTACTGCAATTATAGTTAGTTCATTCATTAGGGTGGAACACTCATAATCTAAATACCTATTAGAGGCCCCACCTTCCAGTACCGTCGCAATGGCAATTACATTTCAGCATAAGTTTTGGAAGGAACAAACATTCAACCTTTAGCACTAGGTAAAGGAAACTCAGAGAGATGTCTATAAATTTTGTCCTGCAATCCTATATTTTCCTTATGCATCTTTCAAAGTAACATTGTTCCAAATTTGAAGCAAAAAAATAAAAATTAAATAATTACTAATGGATGATATTCAGATTCAAAATTGGTCTAACTAGTAACATGAAAATACTTACAACTCTGTTCTCTAATTAATTTTGTAGAATTTAAGTGGTACAGTGCTTGAAGCCACTACTACCATCACATAATTCCTTAATTTTCTTCATCCTCATTTGTATTCCAAACCCTTAAAACCAATCTCCTTTTCTCAATGTTGTCATAGACTACCCCAAAGAGAGAATGACTGATGCTAACATAAAAGTCATTTGGTCTCAATTCTGAGATTAGGAAAATTTTTTTCATGCTTTTATTCCAGCAGGAAAAGAATTTGCTATCCACAACTGGAAAATTAAAGCTAAGTGTCAGATGGATGGGTCTCTGTCTCATTCGTATTATCACCCATCTATTTAAACTATTTAAACTCATGGACTTGCAGAAAATAGTTTCATCACTATATTAAAGATATTCTTTAGTTGAGCATTTGATAGCAAATGTTACTCAAATAGTAGAAACAAATCTTAATTTTTAATAAATGTAAAATATAATTCTGTTTACTCTTTGCGACAGCTCTTACAACTTTACAAATATATAAGTAATATTTAGCAATTATGTACATACCTATTTCTAAGAAATCTAAGCTACAGTTTTTTTGTATCTTGTCTCCAAAAAGTTGAGTTTCTGCAGAGGTCAGTTTGCTAAGGACAAAGCTTATTTTTAATATTTGAAAGTGTTGACGTGCAGAAAATAACACCCCTAACTATGGCACTCAGGACCTTCTAAGACTGTCACGGCATGTCTTTAACTTGGCAAAATAAATGTCTAAATTGATTGAGATTTTTCTCAGATACTTTTTGATTTACAAAGGTAACCCTTTTTATTTGCCTTGCTGAGGCACAAAAAGCAGTACCAAAAAATATGGCATGTTGGCATGCGGAGTGCTTTGAATTAAAGAAAATTGAAAAGCCTGAGAAATAAGCCTCAGAGCCAATCTCTCCCTGACCTTCCCCCAAAACGTCTGGCTGGGATTCTCTTTCTTTCCCAAAGAACCAGGAGGGATTATCTCTGGAACTTCCTTATTTGACTAAGAAAGCTTTTTTTTTAATCAACAGAAATGCAATTGTCTTAAGACTCACCCCTAGGAATCTCTCGTCAAATAGCCAGGAAAGATTAACCACTGGAGAAGAGTCATTCTCACAGAGAAGGCTGGGAGTCATTCCCACACACAGACAGACTTTTCATCTATTCTGGAAAGCAACTCCAAGAGATTAACTGGGGGACTCTATCTGCATAAGACAACCTTTGTTCACAGTGAAGTTTTGCCTCTCACCTTGCAGCCACTTCCTCCAGAACTCACAGGAACTTTGCCCAAGGCCATTATTCTTGGGACTCATTCATTTCCCCTGCAAATTGTTTACTCCTATACCGTACTCCTCATCTCCATTTCCCCTATGAAGAGGAGCGTATAACCAACTGGATCTCCTTGGGTTAGGGTAATCACTGTCCTATGATTTCCCCCAGGGCACATTAAATAAATTTTGTATGCCTTTTTCTCTTATTAATCTTCTTTTCATAAGTTTATTTTCAGTGAGTCTTCAGAGGGTGAAGGGGAAGCTTTCCTTCTTCAACCCTACAAAGGTTTATTTTTAATATTTTTATAAAATGTTGACTTACAAACTTGCAATTAGACCATGTGATATAAGTTAGTGTGGTTAAAGAAAAAATTATTCATGACACTTGTTAAAGGTGGTAAAGCAGACTTTATTCAAAGCAGGGGAGGCCTTAGCAGTAGGTATAGGGACCACTGTAATAGGATCTCACAGCGAGAAAGAGAGATGAAACTCAACTCTGACTTCAACAAGAACAAGTGGGGATTTATAACCATGGAGCAGCGCTGGGGACAGGGATGATCAGTGGATGGAAAATGACTAAGAGAAAACGTCAATGACAAAGGATATCCCTGAGGAAACATCAATAATAAACATCAGGGATAATTATTAAGAGGAAACATCAAGGACTATCTCCTTCAGTCAAATGACTATCGTAAAAATAAAATAAAATTTAAAAACTTGTGTATGTTAACTTAAAATTATAAACAAAGTTTGTCATCACAGGTTGTTTTTACTTTCCAACTTGATGAGAATTAATGCATTTGGGTACCACTTGATCAAGCTCAAATTATTCCAATCCGTGTAAGTAGAATGGAGAAAAAAAATTTTTAACATTAACGGCTCTTAAAATTTAAAAACATAGCTATGAAGATGTATTTAAAGAAACACATCTAACAGATTAATTTTAAAACACAATACCAGGTACAGTTTTAACTTACAGGCACAGATGGCTGCAGAAGCTTCCAGGCTTTGGTTAGGGCAGTCATGGGAGCACACAGGAAATCTCCCAGAGGATTCGAATGGTTGATTTGAGCTGGGAGAGGCAGAAGCAGCAGCAGTTTTCTCCCTAGGAGAAAAACCTTTCTACCTAGAAGCAGTAGCATTTCCTCCCTAGGTCAGTTCTGTGGCACAGTTCCCTGCAATCTACTCAATAAAGTGCTCCCCACGAACAAGGGTGTAAACCATGAGAGGAAGACATGGAATCCAGCAAATGGGAGCTCCAACATCAAACAAAGAGGTTGTGTTCCCAGGAAGACAATAAAAGGAATGTCCTGAAACACAGCAGGACAGTGAGTCTAGAAAGAGACAAATCCGAGACTAGCAAACAACACTATCAGGACCGAGACTAGCAAACAATACTATCAGGATGGCTAGAGGTGACCCCAAGAAACCAAAGGGCAAGGTATCTGCTTATGCCTTCTTTGTGCAGACGTGCAGAGAAGACTGCAAGAAGAAAAACCCAGAGGTCCCTGTCAATCTAGCAGAATTTTCCAAGAAATGCTCTGAGAGGTGGAACACAATGTCCGGGAAAGAGAAATCCAAATTTGATGAAATGGCAAAGGTGGATAAAGTGCGCT